GGGCCCTCGATAACCTATAGCAAAGTTCTGTCAAAAGGGCCAAAAGTATTAAAATAACAAAGTTCGTTTCTCATTGGTTGGCTCCCGACCAATGAAACATCGGCCAAAGAAATGGCCAACAGATTCAGATTCAGGGTCCTCGATAACCTATAGCAAAGTTCTGTCAAAAGAGCCAAAAGTATTAAAATAACAAAGTTCGTTTCTCATTGGTTGGCTCCCGACCAATGAAACCTGGGCCAAAGAAATGGCCAACAGATTCAGATTCAGGGCCCTCGATAACCTATAGCAAAGTTCTGTCAAAACGACCAAAAGTCTTAAATTAAGCTAACCTCTTGTAAATGTTTTTTTGACCCCGACACAGACAGACAGACAGACACACAAACTATTTTTTTTCATATGACCCTCCCTACAGTCGAGGGAACAAGTTTTGCAAACTGGACGACCACAGGAGAGGAGATCAATCAGAATTGGATATTTTAAGACAGAGGAGAGAGAGTAAAAAAAAATACTATTTTTACTTGAACGTTCTTTATGGATGATCCCTTATGTTAAAAATGATATGATTTATTTTACTAATTTTCTTGATCAATGTATTTATCGATTTGATCTTAAACATAATGATTTAGCAATATCATTTACAAATGAATTAGAAAATTCCTCACTACATTATGCAGATTTTACAATTGATTCATTTAAAGAAAAAATTAATTTGTATACATGAGAATGATATTTAAAATACAATTATTGAAATTTCATTAAATGATTCATCATCACTGAATACATTTCTTTTCTGATTATGATTTTTATTTATCACCAAAAATAAGTCCAGATGGAAAATATTTAATATGGATTTATTGAAATCATCCAAATATGTCATGGGATTAAATTGAATTATGGATTGGTGAATGTAATAATGAAGAAAATTTATTATTAATTAATAAAAAAATTATTAGGAAAAACCAATGAATGTATTTTACAATTAAAATGATCTTCGGATGGAAAATTTATTTATTTTATTAGTGATCAAAATGGTTGGTGGAATATTTATCATACAGCTATTGATGGACAATCTTTAGAATATATTGGTGATATGGAAGCAGATTCTGGTACACCTGCATGGCAATTTGCTACATCTTATTATAGTTTTGACTCAAATGGAAATATTGTTGGTGTTTATTGGAAAGGTGAAATTGCTAAATTAGAAAAAATTGATGTTCAAACAAAAAGAATTTATTCCACTAACAGCTACAGATGAATATATTGATATTCGTTATGTAGGTGTTTATAATCAAAATGTGTATTTTATTGATTCATCATTAATAAAGCCAAATGAAGTTATTGAATATAATCTTGAAAAAAAAATCTAAAAAAATATTTTATGTCGTTCAACAATTTTAACTATTGATTAATGTTATTTATCTATATCAAAAATAATAAGATTTAAACCTGATAATCATGCTTTATATGAATTTTATTATTTACCTAAAAATACTGATTATCAAATTTCATCAAATTCAAATAAACCTCCATCATTAATTACTTGGGAATCCCGAACAATGCGTACGACGAAACTTGCACACGAGCGTACAAATGAGGGTATAAAGTGAGGGAAGGATGAGGTTGAAAGGGTTCTTTTTGTTTCCAAACCCTCATCCGCACGGTCGTCGGTAAGTTTTGTCGTAAACATCATCCATATACTCTATTACTTGTTCGTACTCATGGTGATCCAACATGGGCAATAATAAATACATTTAATTTTCATATACAATATTAGATATCATATGATTTTGCATTACTTGATATTAATCATTATGATTTAACTAGTTATGGAAGAAAATTTCGTCATAGTTTAAAGGACAACTGGAAAATATATGATATTCAAGATTGTATAGTTAGTGGTGAATATCTCATTCATGAAAAAAAATGTTCATAAAAATCATTTAACAAGTGACGAATGTTCAGTTGATGGTTATACAACATTATTTGCATTAACAATGTATGATTTCTTTTTTCAACTAATGCATCACATGATGGTGTTATTGATCTTGAATTACTTGCATCTGATATACATTACTTTGAATCAATTTATTTCGATCAATTAATTGGAGAATATCCAATTAAAAAAAGATATCTATTTATCAATGTCACCAATAAATTATGTTAAGAATTATAGAAGATAAAATTATTTCCTCAAGTCAAGTTGAATTAATGATGAATGCATTACATGAAAAACATTTAACAGTAGTATATGTTTTAACAATATTGTTTTCGTAAAGCAGAGAATATTCCAAAAAGTTTAGATAGAGAATTTGATTTTGTTTTTTTCAAAAATATTTCGTTTTCAAATGGTTGATCATATTGAATCTATTCAGAGTGAAAATTTATCTGATTATTATGCTTATCTTTCTTTTTAAGATTGATTTTGATTTTTACATTTTTATCAAAATAAAAACATGTCAGGGTAAATGGCAAATTAATTTATATCAATTTGATTTTTATTTTTCTTTATTATTATTAAAGTGATTATGAAAATCAAAGATCACCTGAATGTTCACATTCACATTCAAGAAGTCCAATTCATCTTTCATCATCAAATAATAATCAAAAATTATCATCACAAAGAGATTATAATCAATTGACATCAAGAAATAATAATGAACATAATTTTCATGATAAAAGAAATAATTATTATCGATCAAGTTATTCAAATCCTAATAATACAAATGATAATCAGAATATTGCTGATGTTCAAATTAACCAAACAATTAATTTATATTCAGATCAAGAACTTGAATTAAAATATCGGTAGAAAATTTATTTGAAATTTTTATTTTGTTTATTTCTGAAGATTTTGTTTTTGTAGATGGGAAAAAACAGTTCATGTTTCAAATATTCCTTATGATATGGAATCGACTGCATTAAAAGATTTATTTCTTACTAAAGGTTTGATTGATTTAAAGAAAAAAAAGATTGTTTTTTTTTTGGATTTTTTTTTTGTTTTTTAAGTTGGTCAAGTTATGTATATAGAAATATTTAAACGAGATGGGAAATCACTTGGTTGTGGGTAAGATAAAATGAAAATATGAAAATTTTTATAAAATTTTTGATTTTATTTAGATCTATTGAATTTCGAACTGTTGAAGAAGCTAAACATGCTGTTGAAAAAATGCATCAATTTGAATATGATGATCGAAAATTAACAGTTATATTGGTAAGAAAAATATTTCTATGGAAAAAGATTATTTTTGTTATTATCTTTAGGATGAAGAAGGTTATCAAACACGTCGAGCTAAATATCAAACACTTGAAGGATGTCTACTTCAAAAGAATAACTTGCTTCATCATCATTGTAACCTATCAAATCAATTTGATCATACAAGTGAAAACATCAATAGCATATCTCTTTCATCTCAAATAACAGATCTTAATAGTATTGGTACATCATTTTCGAATTATTCATCTCTTACTGATATCCCATCACATGTCTTACAAAGATTAGTTATTGAAGAACCTATTACAAATAAAATCTTTATTGAAAATGTAAGTAATTATATTTTGTACATTTATTTTAAATAAAATAAAAATTTCATTTTAGGTCGATTTTCAATGTAATGAAGAAAAAATTCATGAATTATTTTCATCAGTTGGTTGTATTCGTGATGTAACATTAAAACAAACAAAAGAAGGACAACGTGATGGTATGGCTGTTATTGAATATAAACACTCATTAGAAGCTGTACGAGCTATATTAAAGTTTAATCAACAACAGTTATATGATAGAATAATGACTGTTAAAATTGTTTTGAAAGATGGAGAAAAAGATAATGGAAAATTAATGAAATTACCAAGTAAAAGAAAAGAAAAAAAAATTCTTTATTCTAATTTTTCAAATATTTCAGGTTGTTTAAAATCCATTGCTACTGGTTTAAATATTGCTGAAAATCCATTAGGAACAGCAAGTAAAAGAAAAACTATGATTAAAATCGAATAAAGAATATTTTTAATTTTAGATATTAATCAACTTGAATCACCAATAATACAAGTAAATCCAATAAATCCAAATTCAATGCAAAAAATTACATCAAATATATCAGGTAGAAATTATTTTCATGATTTTATTTAAATTAACTTATTATATTTTTACAGTTTCTATCAATCATAATGATCTTATAGCTTTACAAACACTTTCACAATTATCAGGTACTGTAAAGTGACTTGTTTGGTTTTGTTATAGTGGCGATTGCTTGTTTTTTGTTTTGAATTTCAATTGATTTGAATTCATATCTATACATATCCAGACTTATTCTACAAAGATGATGATGTATGTTTGAATCAAACAGCATCTATCAGTGTATTAACCATATCATAGGTTTGTACACAACCGATATCATTATTCGTTGATAATCAAAATGTTTTTGAACATTAATGTTGACGTTGACAGTGTCAATGGTCTTAGTTCATATTTTTAGGCGCATATTCGACATCGAATAGTAATATGTAACGTTTAGTTGGAGGCGTACTTGGTAGTACTGATGTTACCGATTCGAATGTCAGTATTTATGATTGTGTACGAGGTCGATCGTCATATCATTGAATTAAAAAAAAACAGAAGAATAAAAACTAGGCACTTATTTGATTTAGTTGAATTATTCTATATGTTTAATTGATGGATATGTTTTGGATTGAGATTGTGTTTTAACTTGTGAAGATCATCGATAATCATGATAAAAAATGTTACATATATGTATATTTCATTTTTTTTTCACTTTCTATTTGTCTCTTTCTCATACTTGCAAATTGATGTTTGTTGTTCATGTTAATAGATATGAAACAATGAACAAAATAATATTATAAGTAGCTTTTTCTGTATGAATATTTGGTTTTAAGAATT